ACGAATCCTACCAAATCTGCTTAAATCTAATCCAAAATCTCACGCTCGATAAACCACCCTTTTACAATGAATCAAAAGTTGAGTCGTCTCTCGTTTCCCTTTGCCAAGAAGTGCTTCAATTCTATATCGAGTTAGCACTTCCTAGACAAATGACGGATTCGTCCCCGACCACCCCTAGGTGGTTGATTCCGTTGGGGTCTGGTAAAAAACGAGAGCTTGCGGCTCGTGGGCCTCTGATTGTGGTGACTTTGAAGACTATTTGTAGTTTGGGTGATTCGGCATTTGAGAAACATCTTGGGGGATATTTTCCTTTGATTTCCAGCTTGATAAAATGTGAGCATGGGTCGACTGATGTTCAGGTGGCTCTGAGTGAGATGTTGAGGTCTTCGGTTGGGCCTGTTTTGATGCGTTCCTGTTGATAGTATCTCATATATGATATTTTCAAAGTTCAATTTGTGTGTAATATTCTGATTCTTCATGCCACTTGTTTTATTATTATTATTAGTTGTAGTCAGGGAAGTTGGCTCCTTTTAGGAATTAATTCGTCTATTTGTCTGTCTTATAAGGAAAGGAATTTTGTTGTATCTTTCTTGGCTATGGATTCCACCATGTTGTAACGTGCGTATATTGCATTTTTTTTTTAGTTTGATATAGAAACGAAGACTATTCGTAAGAGAGTTTATATAAGCACGACATGACAGAACTAACTTGTATTGGAATGAGACTGTAATATGTGGCTTGTCGGGACCTAAGAAGGTAGGACAAGGTGAGATATGATTCACTCTCAAATCTTTTCTACCTGGTTGCTTCTTTCAAACAGGTTTTCTACTCATATCAGATTAACCAAATCTCAAACTTTTCAAAATAATTTTTGGTTTTTCCCGTCATCACTATCAACAGATTTTTCCAAACCGTTTTTCTTTTCAAGTATTTTTATAAAAATCAATCTATGATATTATAAAATCATCCAAATCACAAATCAATAAAATTAATGTGTTTTACACATGATTTAGTTGTCCTATTATTATTTTATAAAAATATTTTCTTACAAAAACAAACAAAATAGTTGGGTAGCAAAAAAAACTGTCAACCATCAAAGCAAACATGATTGTCAAACATGCAGAGCAACTGCCCCCAACAGTAAAAAAAAAAAAAAAAAAAAACTATACAGTATTATGTACCATAGCTTGAAGAATCCAGTGTGTAACATTAGACCAGCTAATTTGATTAAAATTAGTAAAAAAAATTAAAATATAGAACCATTATACAAAATATATATGCTTGTGATTAAATAAATCTTTTCATTTAAGCATGTAAATGAAAAAAAATCAATGTATGATAATACTTTCCATCTATTTGACTAGAAATACATATCAATTATTTATAATTGAAAAAAAAAAGAATAAAAATTACTTGTCATTTGTCAACCACACTCGACCCCTATTAGAGAATACTTACCATTCAAAGTAATCAAACCAATAGCATCCATAATTATCTCAATTTCCCATTCCACTCATCTTTGGTACAAAAAACAGTATGAAAATAATTAATTTTCGATCATAATTTTAGTAGAAGAATAAATTGTTACAAGTTACGACATCAGAATCATTAATTAATTATTCAACCCGAGGATCTCTTTGTGAAGATGCATGCATGTTGTGGTGCAATATTTATAATTATATTTATACCTATGAAATGGAACTTTACCCGCTAACGACACTTGGCAACACGAACATAACATGTCTAATGAAGTGTAATTTCACAATTTCCCTCTCCATCCATATTTTCTATATGTGACACATATGGCTGACATTCAAATGTGTAATTTCATTCATAAGATGGTTGCAGTGGGATCTATAACGCGTTTCTTCCTGATTGAACATTGAAGGTTCACGGGGAAAATACGTGACGTGCCTCTCGGATTCCTGGTTGAAAATTGAAGATTCACGGGGTAAATATGTGATATGTCTCCCGGTCCCTGGTTGAACATTGAAGTTTCCCGTGGCAAATACATGTTGTGCCTCTTTTGTTTCTGGTTGAACATTGATGTTTCCCATGGACAATACACGGTGTGCATATTTGGTTCCTGGTTTAAATCAAAAATATTAGTCCATATATAATCTGACTATATATAGAAAAACTATATATGACTATGAGGATCTTCAGTTGTTGGATCTTGAATTGGTAGAACCGGAGGTTTTGCAAGTTTTGTGCTCCCTCATGGACGTCCACGGGTATTTTTACGAATAACCGGATCAACAACCGTAATTGATTATGACATGAAAATATCCCTTAGTTTTCGCACATAACTGAACTTCCCATCTTTAGATTGCTTCGCGAAGCCTTTTTATACATTACAACTTCTTCACAACGCGGTTCATCATCTTCATTGCTTGGCAATACCGAGTTTAAATTAAGCTTCCTCCAAAATGGTTCAATTGACTCCAAAGGTATCCATTCGCCTGTATTAGAATATATTACAATTTCATCTGCACAAGGTACAATTATGGCGACCTCAACAATTCATTGGGTGTCAGGTTGATCAAGTTCTTCTCTTATTTTGTGTAAAGCATGATGTGAAACTTTATCCAACAACTATTTGAAAAGGTATACATCCGTGTAGTGATGCTTTCTATTATTTTTTTCTTCTACATTTGCTTTTATAGCGCTGTATTGTGACTCAACTATTTGTCTGATATAGTAAAAAAAGTCTAACATGGAGTGAGTTGAATCAAAGTATTTTTTAAGCTTGAAATGTTGACTCTCAACCCTGTTATTAGTTTGGTTGTGGAAGTGTAAAGTTCGTCCATAATGATACACACATTTCCTTGTATTTATCCAACCAAGTTTGATTGAGATAGTTTAGAACAACTCCAAAATAAAACAAGTACTATGCTAACATCGAACAATATAATTACTATTATAAATATTTCTATTTGTAAGTAAATAATATATTGATAACGAACAATATTGGTTCAATGTAAGCTTAATTATTCAAATATGTTGTCATTAAAGATGACCCAAGCAAATTATCCCGTGTTTGCTTAAATGGCCACATAGACTTTAAGATTATCTTGTAGTGCTTCTCTATATTCATGAATATGTGTTATCTACAGAGTAACCGGTTATGTGTTAGGAATACATTTGCATATGCATTCATCAAGGCTAATTCTCTATCTGCCACGATTACATGTGGCTCATCATATCCACCCAATGTGGACTTAAGATAATTTAATGTCCAAGTATAATTTGATTCCTTTTCTTCGTTGACAAGCACGAAAGCTACGGAAAATGTTGTGTTTGTTGAAGTGACATGGATATGATATATATGATTTCAATGTAAACAATATACGATTTTAATGTAACCGATATAAAGACATCGATATTACATTGTTAGAAATTCAATTTATGGGCTTTGATGTATGGACATTCGTATCACTATCACTATTTACTGAGAGGAGGTTCATGTATTAAATAGTCAACTTACTATTTACTAAGGTCGTTATTGTATGAAGACCCGTACCACTATTATTATTTAGCAAAGACATCTCTCTCTCTCTCTCTCTTCTCTCTCTCTCTCTCTCTCTCTCTCTCTCTCACACACACACACACACACAACTGATGTGAGTATTACAATACCACAAACATCTTCAATCTTTTCAAACCATTTGTACTTGCTTCTTTTAAACAGATTTTCTACTCTTATGAGATTAACCAAATTTCCAACTTTTCAAGATAAATTTTAGTTTTACTCATCATTAGTTTAAAGCGATTTTTCCAAACCGGTTCTCTTTTCAAGTATTTTATAAAAATCAATCTATATTATTGTAAAATCATCCAAATCAAAATAATTATTGTGTTTTACCAACCAATAAATATTTCTGGATTACTACAAATTTCACAATGCTTAGAGATATGCATTTCTAGTCAAATAGATGGAAAGTATAATCATATGTTACTGTTTTTTCAGTTATGAATAAAAAGGTTTGTTTAATCACAAGCATTTATATTTTGTATAATGGTTCTATATCATATTGAAATTCCTGCATCATATCAAGTGCGTAACATTAGACTAGCTAATTTGATTAAATTTAGAAAGAAAAAAAAATACAGAACCATTATACAAAACATATATGCTTGTGATTAAACAAACCTTTAACATATATGCTTGTGATTAAACAAAGCTTTTTATTCATAACTGAAAAAACAGTAACATATGATTATGCTTTCCATCTACTTGACTAGAAATGCATATGTCAAGTATTTATAATTATAATTTTAAAATAAATAATAATAAAAGAATATATTACTTGTCATTTGTCAGCCAAACTCAACTCCTATAAGAGAATATTTACTTTCCATTTCACGGACCATTCAAAGTAACCAAAACAAAAGCATCCATAAACATAAACAACTCAATTTCCCATTCCACTCATCTTTGGTACGAAAAAAAAAACAATATGAAACTTCCTCCTTTTTCAATCATTATTAAAGGGGTAGAAAAATACATTGTTACAAGGTACAAAATCAGAATGATTAATTCATTTATTGATCCTCGAGAATGTCTTTGTGAAGATGCATGCATGTTGTGGTGCAGTATTTATAATTATACCTATGAAATGGAACTTTACCAGCTAATGACACCTGGCAACAGGAACATAACATGTCTGACTCTGATGGAGTTGAAGATGAGGTGGATTGAAGGGCAAGGGCTGCTATTCTCCTCTCGGCTGCAGCAGCTCTCTTCTCTCTCTCTACATCCTGTGCTCGTTTTGCTTCTTCCTACAATTACGATACAATGTCAATAATAATCATTTTACATTTACGGATTTACCCTTCCGCACCTACATTAAATTACTAAAGTGCCACCTTCAATAAAAAAGGAAGGATGGTAGGTACCTCTTTAGTCAGCTTTGGTCTTTGTGATTGAGAATGAGACGATGAAGCTTTCTGTAATTCAGCAGCTTCCGCCTGCATTTTGTAAATGTTT